AGCTTTATTGTGAAAGGTTTATGTGGAAAATAAACAAGCGGACGGTGGAGCCACGCGATGGTTTTACCGTCGTTGTTGCTAACAACAACGCATAAAAGCAGTCACTTGTCTGTTCGTAGTGTGGTTATATTAAATATAAAAGAAAGAGAGAACTTTAAGAAATTAAACGATGAAAAAATATTGCCGTAAACAGTCTATTTTGCGACATCACGAAACAAAAGATAGCGTAAAATGAAACGATAGACGTTTTTATATTGTCGTCCGATATATATCGTTATATTGAACAGCCCTAGTGTAGGCACCCTTTGTTGTACCATAATACTTCTTCATAACCTTTTCTCCCTGTTTCCCTTCCTAAAGAGTGGCTTCATGACAGCAACCCTTTCATGAAGACCATTTCTGATGAGGCTTCAGTGAACAGTAGATGGATCAACTGAAGGTGCAGATACATCTTTCAGTTCATGTGTCAGGCCTTTGCTGGATTTTTTCCTGTTTCTTAAGAACATGACTTTCAGATCTTGCTCATCAGCGGTTTGCATCTTTTTGGCTTTTTGGCTAAAAGGGGATTCATGATGTTGGTGTTGATATCTCTACCAAACTGCGTTATCTTTGGTATTTTTCATTGATTGAAAGAAAGAAATTGGAACAAATTTATATGTTTCTTTTTTTATAAGGCTGGTAATAAGTGCCTAAAGACAAAATATTAAACTGGTTCTTTTCAAAGGTGGATAACAAAACGAAAAAAACCTTTCTTTTTCTGAAAATGGCCCGGTAAAAGGATTGAAGTAAAAATAAGTGAAAAAGCAGCCAGTGCCCAAAGAAAAACTTTAAAAGACCTCCAGATAGCCTGAAAAAGTAGTCTGCCTCCTTATAAACAAAACATAATGAAATGAGGAGTTGCTCAAGACTTTTTCACGCTGCTGTGGACGGGTTTATTTTTACTGCAATTATGATGACACAAACCCCAGTTTCCTGGCTGGAGTTCAGGTTTCTCTGAGCCATCATACATAATATAAACTTTAATATAAACTTTATTACTGTTTTCTAAGCAGAAACACTCCTGTGTGTTATTATTAGCAATCAATATGATGTTTCTTTGAATATGTTTAGGGTACGTACTGAATGAGCTAAGGATTTTAGGAGTTGAGAAAAGTCCATAGTTTGTTTTACAAGTTTGAAAAATAGTGTTTCAAGTTTCGCTTTTGTGCTTTTTTGATAACTGCTGTGGTATTAATGGAGAAGGACAGGTCATCAGCTAGGTGTACACCCAGGAACTTAACACTGCTGAGCCTTTCCACAGCAGATCCATCTGTGGTGAGGTCTGTGTGGTGATCTCTGCCAGACTTCCTGAAATCGACCACCATCTCTTTTGTTTTGTCCACATTGATAGTGAAATTATGGGATCTACACCACACTTCAAGCTGCTCCACGTCCAATCTATAAGTGGACTCATCGTTGTCAGTGATGACACCAACCACAGTTGTGTCGTCTGTGAACTTCACAATGTGGTTAGTGCTGAGTCTGGCGGTACAATCATGTGTGAGCAGACTGAAAAACAGCGGGCTCAGGGCAGTTTTGTATTTCCTAAAGAAATTCAGGGTTTGTAATGTCCGAAATTAATATAAAAGTTTGGAAAAAGTTTGGTTATTTTTAGTTTGGACAAACGTTAAAACACAAAGCTGGGAGGTTAAAAGGGTGTACAGAGTTTAAGCAGGGTATTTAGAGATTACACAGAAAGTCTCCAGTTCAAATTTGTTTAAAATCAAAGATGGAAAATTGTAACTGAAAACTACTGGTCTGTTTATTGGAGCAGGGATGAAGCATGAAAGGTAACCTGACTTGTCTTTGGACTGCTAATTGAATGTATTTTTTACAGTTGTGCCTGATTTTGTGTAGCTCTGGAAAAACTCACCTGTCGTTTCTGCAAACACTCACATACTGTATGTCATTTTGGTAGACAGGAGGCAAATGAGTGGCTTTCTCATCAAGTCATTTTATTTTGTTCTGTCCTTTCACAGATGCTATGAGTAAGACAAAGGCTATAACGGAATCAGAAAAGTTAGTGAGTCATCTGAAAATGTATGTGAATTCCAGATAGTTTAAAATTGAATCCAGCCATGATGTTAGCCTGTGCTGTTTTCTTGAGGTTGTCCCCTGGAACAAAAGCATGATTTCCCTCAATTTTCCAGACTTATTGGTAACAACTCAGCCTGGACAGAGGCTCTGAATGATGTCAGGCTGACTGCTGAATGAAATAAAATGGGGAAAGAAACAGATGGATATGACCCATGAGAGTCTTTCTTGACGACATCTGGCTAGCACGACTTTCACCATAAAAGTTTAATATTAATCCCTGCAGCATTTTAGGGTACTGTTGTGCCACTCAAATCCAAAAGCAGAGTTAGTAAAAATCAGAGCGACTTCCATCATTAAGTTTCACCATGGATATGTATTGTAGATAAAAACAATGATTGCCATGTTCCTCATTGCAGATCATGAGCGCTGACCTATAAAGAATGAGCTTAAAAACTCAGAAAAGACAATTACATTGCTATTACATCAGACTCAACAAGTGAAAGGTTTATTCACTTAGTCAACTGGTTCAAATGGGAACAGCCTGACTTGGTGCCAGATCCCACAGTTTGCCTTCAGAGGTCTTGCTGAGTCCATGCCTTGGTAAATCTAAGCTGTTTTGGCAGTAGCATGCAAGTAACCAACAAACATAATGCCACAAGGTTTTGGCCCATTGATATATGGGTGTTTTGACACAAAATGGTTTATAATGTGCTTCTAATTCACCCCAGCACTCACTCACACTTACATGCTGATGGTGGCAAACCAAAACCCATTAAAGACACTTTGGCAGAAGAGCTGAAACCAAACATGCATTTTGTGGAAATTCTAACATTTCCTGAAACATGAGCACTGCTTTACCACATGACAACAATAAAGCTGTGATGAAAAGACAAGAAAAAAACAACAACAATGTGATGCCCTTATACTAAAATTCCAGTGGTTAATAGTGTCATGGTCCTGAGTCTCTGAGCCAATGTTTTGACTTTTGCAAAGTTTATGGTTCATTGAGTTTTGTATTTTTTGTTATCATTTAGGGCTTTAGTTTTTAAGTTCTGGTTACATGTGTAATGTGGGTTCTCTTTACATCTTAATTATTGATTTGTATGTACTTCTCTGTGACTCAGTTTAGTATGGCCACCCTCAGTGTCTCTTTGTTTCTCATTAAGTCTTCATTTATGTTATGTCCTGCTTCATTTTGGTACTTCTTTGTCTTTTGTGGTTTGTATATAGTTTTTTTTTTTTACCTTGTCTAGTTACCTAGATTCTGTTTAAATGTGCCTCATTTGCCCCCTTGTGTTCAGTTCTTTTAATTGCCCTCTTGTGTGTATACGATGTCTTCCTCATTCTATATAGAGTTTTTCCACCAGTTTAAAATAAGACTGTGCATTTGTGCAACCTGCTAGTCACCCACCTGCTACAATGACAGCCACCTGCTTGCCAGATCCTGCTACCCCTAAGTCTAAGTCCTCTGAAAGGAAGTGTTGATTTTGGCAATGCTGTTCAGCCTCATTGCTGCAGCAATAGCACAGCAGCAGTGTTCACTTCCCCTAAATGCTTTCTTGTGTGTATATAAGCAGTGTCTTCCCCTGAGTCATCGTCACAGTGTCTGTTTTTGGTTCTTGTGTCTTCTCTGCCTGAATTATTGGATTCCTCTATTGACTTATATTTTAATTTTTGATTTTCCATCTATTTAAATAAAGCTACATTTCCAGTTTATTCTGTTGCCTTAAGACTTTGAATGTGTTCACTGGTCCACTGCAGGATACTGTGTCAACGTTATGATTTGATTTAATCTGATACAAAACCCCCACCTGGATTCAAATCATTCTCAATTCTTTTTTTTATTTGTATTTGACAGTGAATGCACTAACACATATCTCACCCCCATCTTCTTAAAGGACTTAAACTCGGTCCAGCAGTTTTGCTGCCTCTGGTTCAGATCCAAACACTATTGAAATGAACCAAGTTTCTCTCCAAAGGGATGTTTGGTTTTCAAGACCTCCTCAGCTGGCTTGGCACCATTATAGCATTAGCCACCTTTTCCTGACTCTTTGACTCATACATGTAAGAAAGTAATGTGTTTCCTCCTTTGTTAACCATATTTCTGTCAAAAGGGGCCTTTGATGAGTTGCAGTCTCATAATTCCCACCTTGCAAGTGTAGCTGCATTAAATGAATGAATTCATTGATTGCAATAATAGCATATGGCCAAAGCAAATCTTGGCTTTTCTCAAGGCCCACCAGTGCATCTTGTCACATCACACCACTGATGTAAAGGATGGTCAACATGCAACAGTAAACTGCTCCTTTTAAATCATTATACAGTAAATGCTGATTGAACAATGTAGTGAGTACAAATTAATAAATCCTTTGCAGTTCTGTTTGGTTTTCTATAAGGCCTACTATACTATTCTGAATACAAAATCTCCTGGGAAATTCAAGGCTAAAAAGAAGAGGATCTTGTTTATGTTACCTCTGCGAAGGAGGTTATATCCTTGTTGTTGTTTTTTTCATTTAAAGGATCACTTGGAAGTTTATGAATAGATTCAAAGTTTTTACCAGGGGTGGTCTGAGCCTGCTTTTACAGATTATTCTGGAACATATCTTTCACCATTCAGATTTGACATTTTGGTGTCATAATGTCATAAATACATATAAGACTGGAAGATGTAAAATTGGAAATTTTAGTTTCAACTGGCATACTGTTCTACTAATTAATGCATGGCCTAACCTTCTACACAAGCCACAGCCAAAAAATATGGCCACCTATTTGGTGTTTCTGTCAACACTGACATGGTGGACCAAGTCGACCTATTACATCCTTTGGCACAATATGAGGTTGAATAAACGCACATAAGTGTTACATGAACTGAATGACAGCAAGGTTTGCACCAAACACACCAATGAAATAAGAGTGTTACGCACCCTGCCCGAAGCGTCCAGTCTTATGAACCTCAGTTGCTCCTTGGTATCCCAGCATCCTGCAGACTACATCTCCATCCTTTTTATCCCAGACATCATCGCACACAGTTCCCCAGCGATGTTCATGGAAAACTTCCACACGGCCTTCGTGAAGACCTGACCCATTCACCAACCGTACCAAGGTCTCCTCCACTGAAAACCAAACACACAAAACAGAAGCTTTGTATCCAGATACACAAATGCATTGGCAGAGGGATTCCTACATTTTGCTGCAACTATTTAGTGTGTTTGCAGAGTGTTTATAAGCATTCCATTGTTATTTATGCCAAAAAGACAACAATAAAGGCCCTCGCTCATTTTTGGAGGGACTCATTCATTGTGTTTATAAGTTTAATGAAGCTCTGTGAATCACATCAATATGAAAACAAACTGAGATGAATGGGGTTGTTTTTGACACACGCAAAAAAAAAAAATCCATAAACCACAGAAAAACACTCTGATTTAAGAAGAACAATAAATAAAAATACCCTGGAAACTTTTTGTGTTCTTTTGTGAACCCTCTTTAAAAAAATATGACGTAAGTTTCTTTCTGAATATACTGTCTTCTGTGATTGTAAAGCCTATAATATGGCAACAATCTCACAGATGTGAAGCGAATCCATTGAAGGGTTTTGAAATTCATAACTTCCTACTTTGGAACTTCACAGTATGCATCTGCAAGCATTTATCCAGTTTAGCTTATTTGAGCACTAAAGACTAACAGCTGCTTAAAAATACTGAGGAAAGAAGGGAAAGTGAGTGAATAAATAAAAGGAGAGATAGAAACTGTAAGTGGACATCAAAGATGAGAAGTAAAAAAGGAGACAAAGGGATGAATTAAAGTAAATTGCTAACAGGCTAAGAGTTTTGCATAGTCAAAACATTTTTATAACATTGTTAAAAAAACTGTAAAGGTAGGGGTGTGGTAAATTTGACTGAGGATTAAGGCAACACTGGGAGCTTTAAGTTACTGATTGAGATGGCTCCACTTTGTTTCTGCTATTTGTTGCTTTTGAAGTATTTTAATTTGTTTATCTGTCAAATGTCGATCATGTTTGTACTTCGGTTTTGATGCAAAAACTTTTAGCATTTTATTAGTCCTTACTTTACACTACTTAGCAGATATGCTTGCACCCATAAGGTCAATGGATACAGCAATGCTCTGGTCCAAACATGGTAACTTCTGGCTCCCCAAAAAAACCTAACAGAGAATTAGGCAAAAAATTCATGTTAAAGCTTCAAAATGTAACCTAACACTGCGACTACACTTTATGACATTCTTTTATACACAGTCTCTGTAAAAGATTCCTCACATAGGTGGACACAACAACCATCTCTGTATTATTGTTGTTGTTCTGGTTTGACAGAGTATTTTGGCTCCTGTAATATAATAAAAATCTAAAGGTTGAAATAAGGTCGCAGGGCCCTGGAGTGTAAGCTATCACAGGGCGGAATTTTAGGATCATCCTTTTTTGAAGGAAGCTGGTTAGTTTTTAAATTTGTAAACCTCTAGGAATGCATGTAAATAAAACTACTAGAGATGCCCCATTTTCATGGATTTAGGGTTGGAAGGCCTTGCTCAGCGGTGCCATGTCCACAAACTTGCATGTAAGAGCTTACAGAACAAGTGTGTGTGTAAATGAGTGTGTTTGTTTTAGCAGAAGCTTCATGGCTCTGCAGTTCATCTGGTATTCCTCAAAGTATGCAGCAGCTGTTCTCATGTGATTGATTTGATTTATCACCTTTCAGAGGGCAGAGAGGAAATAATAATAAGAAGAGGTAAACACACACTCGCAGCTACACTTTTCTGAACTGCTCAACACTGTTAAGACAAAGTGCCGCAGAGTAAAGCCAGACACATTATATAGACAGGATATTAGTCTCATCAGACCATCATACATTTTAACTGTGTACCATTTAACTCTCATTACAGTCAAGTATTTTGCACTCACTAGCCCATCATAATTTAATATCTGCTGTATTATTATATTGTCATAACTGCTGCACTGTATGATATTCTCTCCTGAGAACCAGCAAATTCAAACCAGAAATTAAATATTATTTCAACCTTCTGTTGCACTTTTGTACTGCAGGAGGTTTTTTCAGGCAACTCTACCCCACAAACTGTTAAGAGTAGAGCACCACATGTTTCGTTTTCAGCTAGGGTCAAGCATTTGAATTACTTGAAACAGTTATGTTCACTCATCAAACAATAACACAATAATTTTTGCTATTGCCATGCATATAAAAATGATCACATTGATTAATAGCCCTTGTGATTGTTTAGTACTTCTCTAAACAGCCAGTTTACTATATATCCTAAAGCTCTTCTCAGCCAAAATCTGAAGCAATGACACCCAGCATGCAGTCTGCTAAATATTACATTTCTATGCCTATTTTGGAAATGAAAACTTAAATCACATGCTAATGGAAAGTAGATCTTTTCTTACTATATGGCATAATACAACATCATCCACAATTTACAAGAACAGCCAATGACATTTGTGGAATGTGTCATTTCCTTTAATAACTGCATGTTAATGAAGCAAGGTCGACATGTTAAGTAACTCAAGTCTTAAATGCCGCATCATTTTTAGCTTTGCATGCATGCATGAAAAAACCCGAGACATGAAAAACCATCTTCTTACATCCTTCTCTTACTATACTCTATGGGGTGATAGAGTATCACTAATGTTCATCTGTTTCAGCTCTTTATTAGTTTCTTTCGAAGAGCTTGAGAATCCCCATGGAGAAAACGAGAGACTGGGGAGAAGATAAAGGAAAGGAAACGCTCCGGAGGTACCACATGTAGACTAATCTGAGCCATACAACAAAGCTTCACAGGGATTTATATCTCAGTCTATGGAGAGCTGGACAGCTGAACTCAGTTGAACAACGTCATGTGTGTGCTTTGGGTTACAAAAAAATTGGTACAATTTAGGCAATGCATGAATAACATTCAGTGAACAACACTGCAGCCTCTGAAACGGCAAGAGTTGGACATGCTTTCAAACAAAAACAAGACCTGACTGCACATTAACCACTTCCCTCAAAAATGCTCACCTAATCATTTGTAATCACACTCATTGTTTATCTACTGGTGATAGTACCCTTTCAGCTAAAACTGGTCATTAAGATGTGCTCATATTTTGTACAATAATAAGAGCTGTGTTCAGAGGATTTGAAGTATGTAAGAGCCTAGGAGTTAGGGGTTGTCTTTTTGAACCCAAAAACAAAATTGAATACACAAATGTCAAAAGGCAGCTCTGAGACTAAACTTTGAGAAACGTGATTAATCTGACTTTAACTAGTTTGTTTGAATCATCCAAACAAACATGCTAACAATTTAGCCTAGTGTGTGTCCTGTTCACGGGACTCAGTACCAAATTAAATATTCAAACACTTTGAATGGGTTAACATATAACATCTGTTACTTGTATGCTTTGGTCTATATCATTTTGTTTTTATGACTCATGTAGACAGCTTTGCAACCTTTCCAGTTTGTTTTAAAATGAGTCAGCCAGATGCTATGCTAGCATTTTGAGTGTTAGCTCAAATAGCTAGTTGTAAAAAATATACAAAAAATATGCCACAGATAGTTGTTGAAATTATAAAGTTAATGGTTGTAGACTAGAAATAAGAAGCAAATATTTGCCTGACACTGAGGACATGTTGTTAAGTCATTAGGAATTTTGAGCAATGCAAGGACAGAAAGGTTGACAGGTTTAGCCAAAGTAACTAGGGGCAATACATTATTTGGTGAAATAAAAAGTGGAGTAGTCTAGATATAATAACATGTCAGCATAACCACTAATTACATTTTGGATCAGAATATGTGGAAACAGGTAGCTATTGGTGGACAAAAGTCCTCTGAAATGTGTTTCCCACTAAGCCCTCAACTTTATATAAGTAATGACTTTTTCTACTGACACATGCTCACAGAGACAAAAGTCACTTCTCAAATTCCTAAAAGTAATTAAACCAAAGGTCAATATCCTGGTTTCTAACTTATGCCATTGGTACAGCCTAACAGCTTCTGTCTTACATTCACTTTTGACAGCCAGCAAAGTGATTCATCATAAAACAGAGGCGATCTAATCTGGACATAAATCATGTACTGCTTCTGTAAAAGTAAGGAAATTAAAATGAGCTTTGAGAGATATAATGACTGTTTCTGTTCAGTGAATACTAGTCAAATGAGCTTCAACTGCTGGGGGCCTTCCAAGTGGTTCAAGCCTCTGAGGCCAGAGAAGCTGCAGCAACCACAACATGAAGGCCAGAACATGGAGTGGTAGAGTATTACTAATGTTTTTCTGGCAGGCAGGAAGAATCTGTACTGGATCGAACATGGCTCCAAGACAGCAGCTAACTAGATCCATCTGTTCATAACATCTTCTTTCAGCTGCTCCCTTCAGGGGTCACCACAGCTAATCATTTGCCTCTAGCTCACCCTGTTACCCTGTCACACCAACCCTCTGCACGTCCTCCTTCAATACTTCCTTGATGCTTCTTTGTGGCCTTACTGGTTTCCTTCTGCCTGCCAGCTCCATATTCAACATCCTCTGTCCAGTATGTCCAATATCACTCAAATCCTCTCAACTTTGCCTCTCTAACTTTATCTTTTTTGTAAAACATCCCTTTCACTCTTGCTGATCGTTTTTTCACCGGCTCCACCCTTCCTGCACTCTCTTCTTCGCCTCTCTTATGCACTGTCCATTGCTTTAGATGGAGAAGTACATTCTGATATTGGATTATCTCATTTTTTGACACTGGAAGGCCACACTGACGAGAAATGAAAACTTTCCTTCATGTTGATTTTCACATTCAACTACATGGTTTCTCATGAGCTCAAGTCCCAGGACACACACAAATTTCTCGTTTCTGAGTCAGAAATCTGAACTCGTTAATGTTTGGATCTCTGTACCTGCTGATGTGCACAGGAAAAACAAACAATAAAACAACTACACTTAATGCTGGAGTCCTGAGGTCAGCTGTCAAACTGCCAGATTTTATGGCTGTTGTAATATGTGAGGTCAAGAAAAAAACATTACATCAATGTTGGCAATGACCTCTACATGAAAAGAACATTTTGTTACATGTTACATGCCCATAGGAAAATATCTCAAAGGATTTATAACAGGCAAATGTTTGGCATTTTCAATACTCAATACTGAAAATCAAAACAAGTGAGAAATTTGTATTTATGATAATCGGTTTCAGTAGAATTTAGATTCACAGAAAACACAGTATTGAAAATGTTGGTTTTCAACACTAGTTTACAGTGTGTAAACCTAGCAATCAAACAGAGACCAAGATTTTACATTTTCTTTAGTACATCTAAAAATAAGTAGCTTTACACTAAAATGCAAAAACAATCAAACTCCTTTATATCCTTGCTTTTAAAATGTGCTATACTTTTTAAAATTGTCATTTTCTTTCATGTTACACTGGGGGCGTATTTTCAGCCAGCTCATAGAGCGACTGTCATTGCCAGTTAAGAGGCAGCTAACTAACTAAGAAAAAGTTGGTTAAAAGTTATGGAAAAAAAAGCTGACATATTTTAACCTAAAGATCTTTTTGTAAACATAACAGTAGATTTAATGTCTAAACCTTTCTACCTTTAACATAATCAAATTGTTTTTATTGCTCAAACCTAATGTATCTATCCTAAAGCACTTTGAGGACTCCAGTACAACAGAAAAGTGCTGTATAACAATCAGTCCATCTACTATTTACCAACTAATGAAACCATGTATTTCTAATGAATAAAATTTTTAATTAAAAATGATCAAAATTTAAAAAAAAAATAAAAAAAAATAATCAAGTATGAAAAACATTTAGTGTCAGCAGCAATATTAATTGCTCCACAATTTTGTGCACATGGCCACGAATCACTACATGTGAGATGGAAAGATGAATCGTCTTGCAAAAAATGGATGGTACACAGGGAATTCCATGTTCAGAAATAAGTAGACAACAGCAAACTGTTGTTAGACCAATTTGAGCTGGACATTGTCTTAAACATAAGCACAACTACCATCAACTGATCACAAAAATATATACAACATCAAATACTTTGTGCTAGGATGCAATACTAGCAATACATACAATATAAAAAACTGTTTTTAAAGCCAGTTGATTAAGAGGTTATTAAATCCAGATGTTTGTGAATTTGCAAGAACCCACTGGCATTTTTTTGGGCAAAGTTTGGGATCTATGCATGTAGCCTAATTAACCCAGTAAATCTAAGAGATCTTTATGCAATGTCTTTATGTAATCAATGCTAATTAAATGTAGTCAATCAACCAAGAAAGAAAAAAAAAATTAAAGCCTAATGGGCAAAACAACAATTACAACACAGCATGTGTTCAACGGTGCTGGCATGAGGAGTAAACAATACAGTCAACACCCAGCAGTATGCAGGATTTGGATAAATTACCATTGCATTCACAAATATAGTAGAAACAAAAAATTAACTACAAAAATCAGGAAGACTGGTGCAGTGCATTATATAAATAGCAAGATACATGAGAATGTTGTTCATATAACATCAGTGCAAGACTAAATTAATGTGTTTATTATTTTTCTAGTAGTTGTTTCTTTTCTTTACCTTTTTTCTTTCTGGCATGCCTCATTACTCTTTTTATTTGTTTTGTTCAGATACAGTAGAAAAAAAAAATCTCATCTGTCTTCTTGGACATAAGATTTTGCTGGAAATACATACAATCTGGACTCCATTTGTTCTTTTTCACTCAGAGACAATCACTCATGCTTCGAGGAAAGCATTTGATTCTGTCAGTGACATAACATACTCTTCAGCAGGTTCATTTTATGGTAATACCCAACACATGTGGACTAACGCTCCGTTTTCCCACTAATTCCTCACAAACTTTTGCTTGTTCTGGAAAGTGATTACACAGGTATGAACTGTTCGCTTTAAAGTGTAAAACAATCGAAGTCACGCGTCCAACAATAAGTCGGTTGTGACAGAAATACAAACGACGTTATGATTTGAAATTTCTAACAGCCAACAGCATGTGGGCTCAGTCTGTCTTTTCTTCTCTGAAACATCAAACATCCGCATCGCGTAAATGACGTGAGGAAAGAACTGATCTTTGACGGCTCTGTAATGGGCAGAAACTGCATTCATGTGGTCAAGGGATCAGGATTATTTGACATGAACACCACCCCATCACTCAGCACATGCAGAACAGTCATGGTGATGCAAAAAAGAAAGAAAAATACAAGCATGGAAAAAAGATGTAATGACCTTTTTCTTTCTACTTTGTGGTTTTGCATTCGAGTTCAGGTTACCACCACAGGACTTATACTTATTTTGAAATCCTTTTGATGTACACTGTGAGATTACATTAAAAACAAATGCACACCTACCAGCCTTTGAAACCATGTTCAGCTCTATGTGATTGATATCAAATGAACCAAAGATGAATGAAAGCCATAAAGTTATCACATCATAATTTATGGTTGATTTTGGATCACACGCACCGATAGATGTGAGGTACTCAACTAAGACTTTCATTCCTGTGACTGTGAAACACGTACAACATTTGAAATGATACATTACAATATTCAAAGTACATTCTTACAAAAATGAAATAATTCAGAAGTTTGCTAAACATTTCTGTAAATGCAAAACTTGCTTAGGCCTTCTATTTGTGATCACTTCTTGAACCAACATACTGGTTGGAATCACCTAATGATCCCCATATGTAGCTGTTACATCCTGTGAGGCTGTGGGAGTGTGTGTGTGGGTGGGGTGTTTGCCCACTCTCTCCGCCTCCTCCTCTCTTGCCACTCCTACCCTCTCTGTCTCTCTCACTCTCCTCTCTCTCCCCAGGACAGCTGTTTTTGATAAGCCTCGTTTGCCACCTGAATCCAGTCAGCAATCACCTCTGAGGCTATTTAAGCTGGGGATGAGCTGTGAGCAAGGTGGGTTTTTCCTCTCTGTGGCGCGATGCAGTTTCTGCTAGGTTTTGGACAGACAGCCTCCTAGTGAGTAGATGGGCTTGTGGGCCCTGGAAGTATCTCCCTTATTTGTTTGGTAGCTTTTTCTTTTGTTGCTGCCAGTGTTTCCTTTGTTTCTTTGGCATTATTGGTAAAACGGCGTTGCCGGCTCTTTAAGTTAACGTCATTTGTAATAAAACTATATTATTTGTAATAAAATTATATTATTATTATAGAACAACTCTGTCTGTTTATCTTCAGGTCAGCCACTAACCAGAAAGTCGGTGGTTCAATCCCAGGTTGCTCCAAGCCAAATATCCTTGGGCAAGATACTAACCCCATGTTTGCCTACTGGTGGTGGTCAGAGGGCCCCGTGGCGCCAGTGCC